CATTATTTTAACACCCACTTTTGTAATTTTTGATCACTAATTTATTTACAAATTGGGTTTGAAATATGCCCTTTTTTGTAAAATTCGGAAATTAGCGTACATTTATCACTCCTATCCTCCTTAAAGCAGCCACTTAACCAATATATTTTGGTATTCCCCTTCACTTTAGACTTTACTCGATTAGTTATAACTTTCTTTACGATTTTAATATTAACCAATTAAGCACAATTCATTAAATAAAAACACCTTCAAAATCACGCGTCTGACTTTAGTTGCATATGCAAATAAAATGGCGGAGTTCAGCTGTCAAATTCCAAAATATGCAAAAGAATGAGAGACAAAAGAAGATAGGATATAATCCAGTAAGCATTAAGAATATACAAAGGTGTTCTCTGCAAAAGGTGTTGAGCTCCTTTCTTCGCAAAACAGAAAGGAGAATTCTACTGCCTGAGGGTTATAATCCCTAAGTGCGGCCGAAGGCCGCCTACGCAGAAAGGTGTTCTCTGCAAAAGGTGTTGAGCTCCTTTCTTCGCAAAACAGAAAGGAGAATTCTACTGCCTGAGGGTTATAATCCCTAAGTGCGGCCGAAGGCCGCCTACGCAGAAAGGTGTTCTCTGCAAAAGGTGTTGAGCTCCTTTCTTCGCAAAACAGAAAGGAGAATTCTACTGCCTGAGGGTTATAATCCCTAAGTGCGGCCGAAGGCCGCCTACGCAGAAAGGAATTCTACTTAAAAATACACTTAGTAAAAAGAACATTTTTTTTGTAAAAACTTGTTTTTTCTATTTTTAATTAACTTTTTTATTCTTTATACAAAATCGCCCGATAACTAATTTGGCATAATTTCTTTTATTAAAAAATCCCACGGTTTCTGTTTGTTGGGTCATATTCCACTTCAAACTGCTCAGTTTGCCTAAGAAAATTCCGTTGTCCCCCCTTTTTCAAAGGGTTCCCTAGGGGCATTGTGCATACTTACAAGTGACAAATGTTCTTCTTCTGCCTGGAAACCGCCTGGAAGCTACCTGGAAAGTACCTGTCAAAATGTATAACTATCTTGCCAATATGTTAAACAGGGCGCTTAAAGTGATGTAAAAAGGTAAAAGTTATTAAAATAAAGTAAAAAAAATGGGCAAAATATGCATTTAGTTAAATTGATTCCTGCATTTATATGCCATTTTAGTATTTTAAAGCGTTTTGGTCAATAACTCTTACACTTAATATAACTTTTTTGCTGTTTTTGTCAGAGTCTGTTTAAAGTTTTTTTTTTATAGATATTAGTGTAACCCTGTAGCAAATAAAATCAGGTGATCTCAGCTGTGAGGCATTTCTGCAAAACATCTGATTCTTTTTTCACTTGTAAGTATGCACAATGTCTAGGGGTCTGTGGGAGGCCCCGAATGGGGGGTGCGACTTTTCGTAAAGTTGGGACTGTCCCCTTTCGAATAGGGGGGCAGGGGCTTAGGGGGACACGCCCCCCCCCCCACCCCAAAAACGACCGACAAATAACTAAAGATTTCCCAAAATTTTACCTAGACCCATGAGTTAGGCAAAATTCTGACGTTCATATTCACTACTACAAATGTAAAATTTTTACCTTGATCCGTCAAAGTTTCTTCTTTTCTATCAATTGGCACAGGCCCTTAATGCAGAAATGAAGTTGCATTTAGGTTACGAATTTTGTATGGATGAATGTGCCTTGGGTTAGCATTTAGAGCTAAAAAACAACCTATTATTGAATCATAGTGGTGTATTTAGCCAAATAGCATGATTCAGTAATGCAAGGTTAGATAATTATTGACAGCCGCGGTTTGACACTCCCTTACAAAAGGTTGCATTCACGAAGGACGGAGAAAGGGGAAGAATGAAATCCCTTGGTTCGAAAATAGTAGTAGGAAAGTACGCAAAGTATGCAATAAGAGTGATATTCCTTTTATAAATTCTAATGTATTAGCAGGAAGTCTGGCATTGTAAACAAAATATTGAACGAAATATTAATATTTCTACGTGAACTACGAAAATTATGTGCTATTTAGCGGGATAAAAAAACTGCAAAAGCGCTCGATTTAAATAAAAATTACTATGATATTCACGTAAACATCCAATTTAAAAACAATTTATGTTTTCATCAGTTAAATGTGCTTTATATGCATGTACAAATAAATATATTGCACAAAAGCGTTTACTTCTATTTAACACGTAATGGGCTGTTTTTGCATACGCGTAAAAGCACATTTAGCGCATTTAGCTCTAAATGCTAATCTAAATGTACATTTATCCATACAAAATTCGTCACCTAAATGCAACTAAATGCAACTCCATTTTTGCATTTAGAATCTAAATGCTAAAAGCAACCCTGTGATCTTCCAAAATTTCCACGATTCGAACATGGTTTAATGAGAAAAAGTGGCAACATTGCTTGTTCGAGTATACAGTCGCTAGCTGCGTTTCAGTGATCGCCGATCGAGATTTCATTTATTATTTTACATTATTTGGATAAAGAAAAGTTACGCAAATTAAACATCGATATGATGCTGATAGAAATCTGGATTAATTTGTGATCAACTCTGTTTGTTTTGTTTCCTAATTAAGTGTGGAAATTATAATTGACAGCACAGACAAATGAATTTATACGCAAACAAATGTTTGGTTATGGTTAAAACAATTCAAGTTTTTGTATTGAATTTTCGGTTTAGAATATATTTTTTCCTTTTCAGTAGGGATTTTGCACATTATCTTCTGCGTGAGAATTTATCGTAATAGATACGGATCTGAATAAGCGACTGGAACACGGCTGTTTGTCAAAAGCATACGATTTCGAACTCGGGTAAATGTACATTTGTTACCGCAGAACTCCACAGGCGAACAGCGATGGCCTACCAACTGTCATTTTGACGAGCAATGTGATTGCAAGTTTTTGTGTGTGGCCACTTTGATGTCTTGAAATAAGCATTTGCCGCATGACGCCACCAGACAACATTCTCTCAATTTCGGTGTTTAAAAACATTTAAATCTTTAAAAAACTTGCTGAATAATTTCCTAAAACGTAATCATAAATAATCCAATAAGGAACAGACTTTTATTTTGATTTAATATAAAAATTTCAACGATGTTACCACCAGCACGCTTTCTTACAAATGAAAATATGGCTGTCAAACTATCGAATTGCCTGCAATAGATGTCAAGCAATAAGCGCTGACATATATTGCAGCACATGAGAAATAGGCGGTCTCCATTGGAAATATATTTTGTGACATAGTTTTCACGACATCAGTGTTTTCCTGTGGAGACAGGGCCTTAAATGCGATAGTATGAACGCTCTTCGAAAACATATGTTCGAAAGTGCTAAATGTTGCATTTTAAATGCAGCAAAAACGCTGCATAAGCTACACTTTTTCAAGTAAATTTGCAAAGAAGCATCATGGTGCCACTACTAAGGGAGCGGTGCGAGAGAGACAACTGTCACTTTGGCGAACCTTGTATTATTGAATCATGGCCAAATAGAAACGTTTTGCGGTACAATGGCCGGCTCTAACCATAATTCCGAAAAATCGATAACAATAAGAACATCTCATTCCTTCGTTCATGCTTTCGGAGTTCGCACCTTCTTCGGGTTTACATCAATCGTGGGAAGTATATTAATTTACGCGTAAGAAAATTGATCGGTAGCAGAATTAAAAAATTTATTTTTGAAAGCTCATATGCTGTCAGTAACTGAAGCACAGTGATTCACCAGAGTTTGTGTAAAATATATATATATAAAATATACCCTAAACACGCGATTTAACGAAAGAGAAAAATGGCAGCAAGCGACAAATCTGTCGATGACTCCCTTTACCCGATCGCTGTACTAATCGATGAGCTGAAAAATGAGGATGTGCAGGTTTGAAATTACATTAATTTGGAAGTTCTAACCCTAAAAGAAACAAATTTATTTTATTTTAGTTGCGGTTGAATTCAATTAAGAAATTGTCGACTATAGCTCTTGCTCTGGGAGAAGAACGTACACGTTCCGAGCTAATTCCGTTTTTAACCGAAACAATCTATGACGAAGATGAAGTTCTTTTGGCATTGGCTGATCAACTTGGCAATTTTACAAGTAAATGTCTTGTTATTCGACTTGTCTTTTATAGGTACTTATTAATTGGTTATTTGCTTAAGGTTTGGTTGGTGGACCTGAGTATGCTATGTACTTAATACCACCTCTGGAGAGCTTAGCAACAGTTGAAGAAACCGTAGTTCGTGATAAAGCTGTAGAATCATTGCGTACCGTTGCATCAGAGCACAGTGCTCAAGATTTAGAAATTCATGTTGTACCAACATTGCAACGTTTGGTTTCTGGTGATTGGTTCACTTCACGTACCTCAGCTTGTGGCCTCTTCTCTGTTTGCTATCCACGAGTTTCGCAACCAGTAAAGGCCGAATTACGTGCAAATTTCCGTAAATTATGTCAAGATGAAACTCCGATGGTACGTCGAGCTGCTGCAAGCAAGTTGGGGGAATTCGCAAAAGTCGTAGAAATTGAATATCTGAAGTCAGATTTGATTCCAAATTTCGTGCAATTAGCTCAGGACGATCAGGCAAGTACATAATGATGTGTCCTAATGGATTTTATGTAATATTCTTAAATTGTTCCTTTCCCATAGGACTCTGTTCGTTTGTTGGCAGTAGAAGCCTGTGTTAGTATTGCCCAATTGTTACCTCAAGAAGATGTAGAACATGTAAGAAAAGATCTTCCATATAGTTAATTCCTATAACGCCAAATATTATTATTTGCAGTTGGTTTTACCGACATTACGTCAGTGCGCTAGTGATTCGTCTTGGCGAGTGCGGTACATGGTTGCTGAAAAATTTGTTGATTTGCAAAAGGCTGTTGGTCCTGAGATCACTCGTGTCGATTTGGTACCCGCATTTCAGGTTGGTAAATGCAACTAACTTTAATCAATATCAATCAAAACAGGTTTACTTTCCGTGACAAAAATGCTACATGTTTAAGCAAAGTTTTTGTTGTTTTTAATATTCATGTAAAACTTCATAACTCTTTTATGATCTCTTTTATAGTATTTGCTGAAGGATGCTGAAGCTGAAGTACGTGCCGCTGTTGCTACAAAGGTGAAGGATTTCTGCGCCAATTTAGATAAAACCAATCAAGTTCAGATTATTATGACATCAATATTGCCATATGTGCGTGATTTAGTATCTGATCCCAATCCTCACGTGAAATCAGCATTGGCATCAGTTATTATGGGTTTAAGTCCTATGTTGGGCGCATATAATACTGTCGAGCATCTCTTACCCTTGTTCCTCATACAACTAAAGGACGAATGTCCTGAAGTTCGGTTGAATATTATTTCAAATCTAGATTGCGTCAATGATGTAATTGGTATTCAGCAACTCTCACAGGTAATATATGCCCTCATAAAAATGTATTTATAAATGTTCATATTGTATCTAATTTTACATCATATTTAGTCGTTATTGCCAGCCATTGTCGAACTTGCTGAAGACTCTAAATGGCGTGTGCGTTTGGCAATCATTGAATACATGCCCGCGCTGGCTGGCCAACTAGGCCAGGAATTTTTCGATCAAAAGCTAAGAGGTTTGTGTATGGGATGGTTGAATGATCATGTCTACGCGATTCGAGAAGCCGCCACTCTCAACATGAAAAAGCTAGTTGAGCAGTTCGGTGCACAATGGGCCGAGCAAGCCATTATTCCTATGATTTTGGTCATGTCACGTAATAAGAACTATTTGCACCGTAAGTGGAAAGTTTTTTTTTTCAAATATTTTAGGTATTGCATTAATATGTTTTATTAAAAGGTATGACGTGTCTATTTTGCTTGAATATGCTCGCTGAAGTTTGTGGCACCGATATAACCACGAAATTGCTGTTACCAACAGTACTTCTATTAGCAACAGATCCTGTAGCCAATGTTCGATTTAACGTTGCAAAAACAATGCAGAAAATTTCCCCGTTTCTTGAAGCTAGTGTTATTGACTCACAAGTTAAACCTACATTGGAAAAATTAAATGCAGATCCTGATGTCGATGTAAAACATTTTGCATCAGAAGCCATTGCAGGTATCGCTGCAGGTAAATAAATATACACATAAACAATTGTAGCTATCATGAAATTACGAATCAACTATTAACTGCTTTTTAAAACGCGTAGAAATGGAATTAGACGTATTTAGGAGTGTTATTCCGCCAGTTGAGGGCAAAGTGAATTCTGTTGCCTTAATGGCTAAATTGGCTGTTCAGCCTCCACCAGAACGTAATCGTGAAGAAACTGCATTTAACTGTTAGTTGAGTGAAATTCAATTATACCTTATTTATACATATGTATGCGTGCTTCTCTTATACATTTATCATTATTATAGTATGGAAAGGGCGTAACTCACATTGTCGCTGAAATAATAAAGCCGTAAAAAACTAGAAATCAAAAATTCACTTTTTGATTGATTATGATGCATTTCATTGAATTATAAGTCTCTACATCGTTTTATGCAATACAAAATTTTAGCTAGTTATGGCTGTTTTGGATTTCAACGACGACGTGAGATACGACCTTTCCATACTATAATAATGATATATCTCATCAGAAAAGAACAGCACATGCTATTCTGTTGGTGAATACACTAAGCTACTTTTGAATGTTGCCATCATTGTTTTGTGTAGGTAGCAGTCCGCCTGTGTCACATTTGTGGCACCACATTTTGTTAATATTCTTGAAAATACCAATAATCTTTAACCTGTGTAAGTTATTTGTTCATAACATCTGTTTGTCGCTTGCTATACGGAAATCTGGACTACATCATAATCAAGAGTTGATACTGACAAGTGCTTATACATTGGGGTTATTTAAATATATCTAATCAAACATGTGAACATATTCCATTATTGACTTTTTGAAGCAATTGTTTGAATGATAACGTAACCAGTGTTGAAACATAACATTTTAATTAGTACTTCAGAAACAATTTTGTTAGCAGCTGGTCTACACCTTTTCAAGTTTATAATGAAAATGAATTGATAATGAGAAATGAAAATTGATATGGAGAAAATACAAATTGATAATGAGAAATATAAATTCATATTGAGAAAATACAAATTGATAATGAGAAATGTAAATCCATATTGAGTATATATAAATTGATAATGAGAAAACATAAATTCATATTGAGTATATTTAAATTGATAATGAGAAAACATAAATTCATAATGAGAAAATACGTACACTCAGGCCTATCGCTGGGTGTAAGCGAAGCTACGGAAGCAAAACCAAGAGGTGTAAGCGACCGAAAAGCTGACTGAAGACAACGTGATGACTATGTTATCGTGGCTTGAAGGTGACTGCAGTTATACCCTTGGACAATTAAAAAGAAAAGTACAAAACCAGTTTAATGTAGAATTGAGCACCACAGCAGTGGGAAATTATCTCGAGGGCAGTCTGTCGAGTTGCAAAAAAGTCCATACGCAACCAATAACCATGAACTCGCAGGATAACAAATTGAACCGAGCCGAAAGTGGTAAACAAATAGCATGGAAGGATGAAACAAATTTTAATTTGTTTCGCCGAATGTCAGGTTGCCGATAAAAAAAATTGGCCACCGGGCCACTCTACAGCTCCCTGCTTCCAGAGGGACAAACGTCCACTTTATTAATGCAGTAACCACAGCTGAAGTGTTACACATAAAAAGGCAAACGGGTGCGCTCACACACAGCGGGGGTGTAAATGCGTTGTCCAACTGTAATTTCGGGTTTTATATATTATAAATTTTTTTGGCAGTGTCCCTTGATGCTTGCTTTAATTCACCTAATATCGCGACATTAGCTCGCATACTCCAGAGTAATGTACTTGTAGCTCTTCAGTGATATAATTTTTATTTTCTCATTATCAATTTACATTTCCCATTATCAATTTTTATTTTCTCATTATGATTTTATATTTACATTCCTCATTATCAACTTATATATTCTCAATATAAATTTACATTTCTCATTATAAAGTTGTACTTTCTCAATATGAATTTACGCTTCGCATTATCAATTTGGGATTTCTCAATATTTATTCACATTTTCTCATTATAAACTTGAAAAGGTAGTATTACCAGGCCCGTCGAGAGGGAGGGGGAAATGGGGTGAACCCCCCGGGCCCGGGCTTCTTAAAGGGCCAGAAATATCAGAACCATATTTGTTATTATATTTTTACATTTAAATTGTTCCTTCGTTATAGGCTTTTATTACAAATGTATTTTGATTCGCGTTGATTGCTTCCGACTATAAATTAAAGAAAATGATCATATGGCCCAAAACGCGTACTGTTACAATACTTGCTAGAATACAACATTCGGCTAGTTTTTCTTCTTGCATCTGAAAGCATAAGTATGTGACCATATTTAATATATACCTAAAATATATAGTACCTCCTGTTGTTTAGGAGTTATAAATGTTTCAACAGCGGACGGTTACATTACAATTCTTGGAAGTACTTTTTAACGCTGCTTTATATTATCGAAAAGCTTATATAACTCAAGAACTACGAATTTATTGAACTGATCAAATTAATTTTGAAGTCAATATTTGCAAAAAATAGTCGGACTATTACGTTACAGAAAAAGACCGTTACGTTACCTGTGCGATATACATGCGTATAGATTAGAATTAGGTTTTTAAATGGCTTGTAGTCTGTTTTATGCAATAACTAGCATGAATTCAGTAGACGTGCGATTTGACATATAATCCAAAGAAATTAAGAACGTGATAATTATGAATACATATTTGAACGGTTCTGTTTCTGGGCAGCTGAAGATCGTTTCGGATAGATTTTATTCTTATAACTCGAGCTCGAGCTTACAATTGCTTCAAGATATTGAGGTTTTTCGCGGCTAAGTACACGAAAAACGGATTTGACGGCCAATTTGGCTTGCTTTATGCCATTTAGTACTATTCTTACCCTTCAAAATACGTGGTGCTTTACCATTTTTCCTTCAGGAATTATGGCCATTGGAAGATGGCGTAATGAGTTAGAAAGCTTGGTTTGGCGATGTTAGATTCGAGGATACGGCGGTTTAAGTGGGCGTAACTCTTGAGGGAAAAATCTTATAGCACCATTCGAGAGTGCATTTTGAAGGATAAAAATAGTACTAGAAAAATACTTGAAATAATTCTAATAGATTGTTACTATTTAATCAGAAAATCTTCTTATTTTAGCTTCTTATTTTGTTTCTTTTGGCCTCGTTCCGTTTTGAAATAATATAATTCTCGCGTTTTTTTATTTTTCTACGTAATTTTTATTTTCTGAGCCTATTTGAGTTAGAAAGAATCTAAGTTTTAACTATGGGTCAATAGCACGTTGAATAGCTTACAATGTTGCTTTAATGAGCCCTATCTCTATCTAAATAAAAAATTTTACCTGAAAATTCAATTAGTAAGAAGACTTACGTTACAAATAGTTTAGCACCGAACACACATGGATAATGAAGAGCATAGCATACAACAACAACAGCATAGGAAATTGCTTTATGTAATTGTGAAAGGAGGCCGAAAATGCTCGAAGAAAATCATATTTTTAAATTTTTTTGTCCTGGTGGATTCCGCGACCAAACCTTTTCGATATTATGGACTTAAGAAATTTAATCACTGATTATTTTGTCGAAAGCTTTTTTATTACATTCAAAGTAATACAAGGCAATCGAAGAGAAGCACGTATAATGCAAAAAGTGGTGCCCTTTAAATATAAACAACCCCTAATTTCATGTTGTGCTTTTTTAATTTTCATTAATTTAAAGGTGTCTGAGGATTACGTGAATTTGAATGTTTAAGAGAAGGAGATTCGTGTTAATATTTATATTGTCTGATACCTCAGAATATGAATGACCCAGATATAATAAAAAATCTGCGAAACCTGAGAAAAAACATTTTTCCCCTCGGTTTCGTTTTCGGAGATTTGGGCCATATGCTTTTAATTTGATACACTTATATATAGGGGGCCGTGATTTTTTAGTCCCGTGCCCGAGCTTTCTCTCGACGGCCCTGAGTATTACACATAATAAAACAGTGTGGAAAGAATTCCATTTTGCTGCATATTAACACCTTTTTTTATTCCCAAGCTATAATTTATAGAAATGGCAAATTTTCGAACGTTGCCTACAATTATAGTTTACATAAAAAAGGGGCTGTTGCTCTGCAGTTTAAAGCCCTGTATGCAGCTCTCAAGAAAACGGTCAAGAAAAAATTGCCATTATTTCGTGTGTGTGTCCAAGGAATTTTGACATTTTGATACTTCACAGCCTGTTGCCTCACTCTTTCCTCAAGAAATAATGGAACGGGCATATATTTCTGTTGCAAACCTGCGTTACCTTCTGCTCTTTTTCACAAAAAACTTTAGAAAACCGTAGTAGAAAGCGTAGTAAATTCCTTAAGAACTGCGTACTGCCTTAAGGAAATTTGACTCAAGAAAATTTCTTAGCCATTTTTTGTACGTCATTTTATATGGAGTTTTTGCTTTTCTTGAGAGTTGCATACAGGCCTTAATAATGCGTTTACGAATAAGGAAAATTGCTCACTGCAAAAGCATCGTATGTACATATGTATGTGAATCTATGTTCGTGCTCAGTAATTCCAAATCATTAAATTTGTTTCTCAGTTATTGTCGATATTCCGTAAGTGTATGTCTTAATGTAATTTGTTTCTTTTTTCTACTTGCAGCGTAATCACTTAAAATTCAACATTTTCATTTCAACTTTTTTATCATTTTTTAAATTTAGCCGAAGTTAAAAATGGCAAGGATTAAAAATGACCTGCTCAAATTAATCGAAAAAACTTAAAGCATCATCGGCAAGTCGTCAACCATAAAGAGCTGGTGTATTGCAAGAAATCGCAGAATATCACTGTACAAAGTGATTAATGAGAATTAAATAATATATTTAAGCATTACATCCAATTAGAGTAATACGGATAGCACACAATCTTGATTATTTAATATATGCTTCAATAAATCATCAGCTGTAAGCGGTAGTTCACTCAAATACATACAATAATACAAATAAAATTAACTTAACCTTGATGTTATTGAATTTAAGTTTTTATTGCGTATCTATCATAAAAATGGGGAACAAACAAAGCTAAAACTGCGCACAGACTGCATTCATAAACATGTTTTTACTGTATCGAAAAGCGATGACCATTAGCGCACACAAGGGGTAGAAATATTCCTACCAAAAATTTGTTCGCTAGATGACGCTGGGGTCAGGATATTCCTAAAAATTGCATTTACTTGCCGATTTGGCTCGTATTTAGAACATATGTTAGCCAATTGAAAATAAATATTTGGACTAAAAACATACTAGAAAGGTGGCATTGTAGCCGAGATACATATTCCCAACATTCGTATATACTGGGAGAATGATATATACCTATATATAAATATGTCACAATAAAATGTTAAATGCCCCTTTTTGAGAGCACTAATATATCTAAAACCAATTACGCTGTGAAACTGAAACTTGGCACGGGTGCATTATTTGTAAATACCCCACTTATGGCGAAATGTGGAAGGCATTGGAGAAATGGGCGTGGAACTTCGCATACAATCTGAACTTCTCATATCGTTTATCCCTGGAACCGCTTAAGCTAACGTCCTGAAATTTGCCACAGCTAAATATGTTATCAATATCGTACTTACGACGGAAAGTGGCAGGTATTGGGAAAAAGGGCGTGGCACCTCCCATACAAACTGAAATTCTCATATCACTTATCCCTGGAACCGCTTGTGCTAACGTCCTGAAATTTGACACACTACATATGTTGTTAATACCGTGCTCACGACGGAAAGTGGCAGGTATTAGAAAAGGGGGGGTGGCACCTCCCATACAAACTGAACTTTTCATATCGCTTATGTCTGAAACCACTTATGCTGTCGCCCTGAGATTTGCCACTGCTATATTTGTTATCAATAACGTAGTTACGACGAAAAGTGGCAGGTATTAGAAAAGGGGGCGTGGCACCTCCCATACAAACTGAACTTCTCATATCGCTTGTGTCTGGAACCACTTATCCTGACGTCCTGAAATTGGCCACAGCTACATATGTTATCAATGCCGTACTTACGACGGAAAGTGGCAGGTATTGGAAAAGGGGGAGTGACACCTCCCATCAGGGTGTCCAGATCGTTTAAAAAACGCGCAATATCTAAAAAAAAATCGCCAAACATAGCCAATTTTTTTAAAATAAAATTCATGAAATCGATTAGTTTAAAAATGATATCTTGTTATAATATAGTTTTTAAAACCAAAAACGAATATAATACCTTTAGAGGGTAATAATCAGGGAACGGATTTTTAGGACCTAAAAACCTATAAAAAAGGCAAAATAAAATAACGAAATAGGCTGGAAAAGGCAAAATAAAATAGCGAAAAAGGCAGGAAAAGGCACTAGGTATTGCAAAAAAATCAAAATAAGAACAAATAAGAAATAAGAACAATCAAAAATTTTAGAAATGCTTATATTACAAGTAAAAAGAGAAAAACTATGAACTAGTTTCATTATATAAAAAATTTGTACTTTGAATCTTTGACTATTTTCTTCTCTCGAGTTTCTAACTCATAAAACTTTTATCTGTATGTATAGTTGTAGTAACATTGAACCACAAGATGCATTTTGAAGTTTTCTGGCAGCATTTTCATTCGATTTTCGCGAAGAAAAGCCTTGAATGTACTAAATGTGCGCTCGACGTAAGTTGATACAAGTGGAGCCCAATTTAAATATGGAACGTTTGAAACGTTCATATTATCAGGAATAAGGGCGCTTTCCTCGCCCTTTACAATTTTATCCACACCCCTTATTGTCTCCAAGCCTCCGTTAGCTTAGGCTTTGAATTTCTCCAACACCAATTTGGCAAGAGGTCCTTGCGCTTGTATAAGCCGCATGGGCATGTGTATATTTTTTAATCTTAAAAAAAAAAAATTGCAAATGCTATAATCACTTTTTTAAAGGTAGAAAAGGCAAAAAAGGCAAATATCTTAAAAAAGGCAAATAAAAGGCAAATATCTTAAAAAAGGCAAAAAAAGGCAACATCAAATGTGTATATACGGAATCAGGGAAAGCTAAATCGTGGACATTCTTAATCGAATATACTCTATCTCTTTAGCAGAAAAAAAGGGAATTTCCATAAAATCCGTTCCCTGGTAATAATAAATAACACAAATCACTTATATATGAGCCGTTCTTTTTTAAGTCGGTCGGATTTCGTAAAAAAAATTATGTCATGCCTCCGATTCGCTTCACATTTTTTTGTGGGTTCTATACATGAAATAAGCTAACACGTGTTCGAGGAATTTTTTTTTTCAATGTTATTGTGGCTTAATAACATTTTATTTTTAATATTTTTTTTCTTTTTTTTTTTCTTCGGAGATATGGTATGTCAAAGTTTGCATTTTTTCGTGATTCTGACTAATCATGTACTTCTTCTAATCGTTATATCTCGGGTTCTGCTGAAGGTAGAGACTTCATCTTAACGTATTTTAACGCTAAGAAACGGGCTTAACATTTCTATATATAAGGTGGCCAAGACTGTCCTAAAGCTAACTTAGCTATTAACAGTTGAACTTTTTGAAGTTCATTTGCATAGTGAAGACCAGTAAATTAGGGATTTAAAATACCATCGTAATCCTTGTTTGATTCTCTATAAAAAACGTGGTTAAAAAAAATGGGGGGTTTTTCAAGAACTATTTTTAAAATATTTTTCTTTATGACGATATGGTTTATTTTGTGAGCATCAACAATTATTTGTAATTTTTTCGAAAACTTATGTTAAGATATATTTGGTAAGGTGTTAAACATCGGGTTTTTGCAAAAAGTAAAATTTTATTGAGGATTCCGATAGAATACCTATCCAGATATAATATTTGTATGGCAAGATTTTTCTTTAAGGCTACAAATACCTAGATGTGGGCATGGCAATTGCAGGACTAAAATTAGCAAAACGCAGATTTTATTGCGGATTTCGGCAGAATATTACAATTAACAATATTTATTCCACAACTTTTTCCATCCATATAGATATTCTGGCGAAATCTACAATAAAGTCTACATTTTTGAACTTTGGTATTAATATAGCCACGCCCAGTTCTAGAATACTCTTTGATTGAAAAAATTGTGGAACAAATGTTGTTAGCGTTTTACAATTGCCACGCAAAATTTTAGAGGTTTGTCGCCTTAAAGAAACATCTTGCCGTACAAATATTATACCTGGATAGGTATTCTACCGGAATCTGCAATAAAATTTAAATTCTTGCAAAAACTCGATGTTTAACACATTACTAAATATATCTCAGCATAAGTTTTGGAAAACAAATTACAAAAAATTGTTGATTCTCACAAAACAAACCATCTCGTCATAAAGAAAAATATTTTAAAAATAGTTCTTCAAAAACCCCAATTTTTTTGAACCACGTTTTTTATAGAGAATTAAACAAGGATTACGATAATATAATTTTAAATCCCTAATTTACTGGTCTTCACTATGCAAATGAACTTCAAAAATTCAACTGTTAATAGCTCAGTTAGCTTTAGGACACTCTTGACCACCTTATATATAGAAATGTTAAGCCCGTTTCTTAGCTTTAAAATGACGTTCAGATGAAGTCTCTACGATCAGCAGAACCCTAGATATAACGATTTCAAGAAGTACATGATTAGTCAGAATCACCAAAAAAATGCAAACTTTGACAGATCATATCTCCAAAGAAAAAAGCGTAAAAAAATTCCTCGAACACGTGTTAGCTTATTTCATGTATAGAACACAAAAAAAATTTGAAGCCAACCAAAGTGTGACACCATATTTGGTGTCCGATATGAAAAAGAATGTCTCATACAGTGTTGCCAAACAAGGGCTTTTCCTACCAAAACTGGTAGGTTTTTTTCCATTTGGTAGGTTGGTAGGCTAGATTGGATTTTGGTAGGTTCCGCGACAATAATAATTATTTGCGAGAAATATAAAATATGTATCTCCAATCATTTTAGCAACCTTGTTTTCACGAATATTTCACCGGTGGAGTCCACCATTGTCCACCTGACAGAGACTTCATTGTAAGACTTGAGGAATATCACCAAAACTAACCTATTGGTCTTTCAATATGGTAGTAGATAGGTATTCAGTTGAGGGATGCACTGCGACTAGGAGATCTATTGTGCCCTCAATATGGTAGTAAGACCCAATGTCACATATGCGGTACTGGTTACCAAAAGCTACGCATGTAAAGGCGGGTTCCACCTTTAGCAAGCCGCGCCGACTGGTCCGCGTGACCACTACAGGAGCTATGTTTTTTGTCTATTATATTTGAAAAAGAGGCCTGCTGGAGCGCCCTACGACTGCCCAATAAGATCAGCAAGAAAATTTCGGATCTTCGGGATCATTTGGAGGTTCTAAAGCCATTCCTGAATAATCCCGAGTTATCCTTCCACAAACCCTACAAGGTCAGAACTCCTGAAAGGACCTGCAGTGAATTGATAATAACTGTGATTGTCAAAAGGTCCCAAGCATGGTATACCGACGGATCAAAGATGGACGACGAGAAAACCGGGGCAGGCAAATTTGGACCGAAATTCCAGAAAGTCTACCAATTTACACATACCAAACTATATTCCAGGCGAAAGCCTTCGCAATCGGAGTCTGTGTAGAAAGACAAATGGGCCAAATTAAATATTATGTCGGATATTCAGGCAGGCTAAAGGCCCTAGACTATTTTAAAATGGCAGCAAGCTTGTGAAAAGCTGTAAACTTTTTTGAACCACTTGGGAGCTCACAATAACGTAACGCTGTGGTGGGTTCCAGGACGTGAAGGGTTTGAAGGCAACGAAAGCTGACTGTCCGCAAAGCGTGGAGCCCAAATGCACTTGCATGGTCCCTAGTCTTTTGTGAGCTGGTGGAGGAAAACCCAGAGCATATTATATGTGACTGCCCACGTATCATAAATAGCAGACTGATACACTTTGGGGAACGATTGTCTTCTTCATCCAAAATTTTAAACATGGCGCCCTCCAAAGTGCCTAACTTCTTAAAGAGAATAAGGCTGGAGTGAT